TCATACTCGATATGAAATTAATCCTGCACAAATTTATACACCAACTGAATACTATCCAAATAATGAGTTAATAAATCGTTACATAGAACTGATGTAGGATCACTTATTTTTTATTTTTTTTTTTTTACGAAAAAGGAAAACACAACATTAATTGCTATAATTCATACTCGATGTGAAATTAAACCTGCACAAATTTACACACCACCCAATCCTATCCAAATAATGAATCGATAGATTATGACACTGAACTGACGTTGGATCACTTGTTTTTTTTTTACGAGCAAGGAAACACACACAAAATCACATAACAGAAGTATTCAAAAGGTGTCGAATGACATATAAAGTCTCTTAAGCAATTGCTAGGAGCCATGCACAATGAAAAATGAAACCAGCACGAAATTACGAACGAACTACCCAAATAATGAATCGATCGATCGTTATACAGAATTGATGTTCAATCACTTTTTTTTTACCAAGAAGAAAAACACACGAAATCACGTATAACAGAAGAATCCAAAGGGTCGTCCAGGTAATACGCACCTCGAAGTAGGATCCATCGCTGATCGATCGGTTCTCGGAAGACGCGTCGGTGTCGGATAGATCCGCTCTGACCGTGGCTGGATCCTCGCAGTATCGCGATCTCGCGGCTCTCTGCTGTCTCGAGCGGCTCGAGCGCGTCGAACGTGCCGACTGACTCGGGGATTCCCTTCCAGAACCCCGCGAATGTCTGCGGCTGAGTCGAGGCTGCTTCGTGACTGGCTCCTCGTCGCTGTCGCTACTGCAGCGGTAAGGTACAACGTTCTGAAACACGAAATCGCCGAATCACTTTATCTGATAATCCTCTCCGCGCTGGCCAGCGGCGTAAGACTCCCAACATCCGACATATGAAGAGGTTCTTTACTCCGAGTTAATAATCGGTGAAGAATATCACCTCGAGGCTGGAGGTGTCCACGCTAAGCTCTCAGAAATCTGAGATACGACTAATTTACCATACCACTTAGTGGAATGGTAGGGGTACTCTTAAGCGTGCCCCTTGAGAACGACTCGAAAACCGTTTCGTCGATACACGTTGGACTCAAAAGGATGTCTGTCTGTACGCTTGAGCGGAATTTTTAAAGCATTTTAATTATTATTATTTACGTTAAAAAATCCATTTCAGTGGAGCCAATGTCTACGAAAATATGGATTTAAATTTCCTCTTACATTTATTTTATATAACATTATTATTCGTTTCATTTAGTTCGTTTTTTAAATAATTTTACTAATTACTGTTTTGTAATAAAATTGAAAAGGTGTATAGCGTTAAACACATCGCGATTAGCGTTTAGCAATATTTTTAAATTTATTCAAATGCAAACCCTGAAATATCTCGATGCATGAAAAAAATGGACCTATTCCATTCTCAAGTATAACAGCTCAGAAATGGAAGAATTCGTATAAAGAGCTAAATTTGTGCTATTTGTAAGTTGTAGGATTACTTATAGTTACTGATGATACAGTTCAATGGGATGATATGATACAGCAATACAAAATATCATCACAGTTATAGTACACTTGTGCCATTCATACACAGTAATGACAGGATTAAGTCGACGATACAAAAATTAAATAATGAGTATAAAATAGATAAACGTATATAGCCATAGAAGTTGTTGGACTTGGATACAGCTACATGGATAAAGCAACTAATATATTTGCAAAACATAGTACTTTACGTAACGCGAATTCATTGACAGTAAATCTGATACGTGCACGTATGAAAATAGCCTTCGGTACATTCAAATGACCGTATTAATGGACAAACAAAAAAAGCTCTTGAAAAAGAGTATATTTAAATTTGACCTCGGATCATAGATCAATACTTTGTCGTACAAATCCCAGTCGTTAAATGTGTCGTCGTTAACCGTACCATAGCGAGACACCAACGCCAGGAAAAAGGTTAGAGAGGAAATCACGCGTACACAAAGCGCGAAATGATTTTTACGCGGCATCATTTTTATCCCTTTCAACTAATTTTACTTTGGCATCGGTCCAACCAACTTTTCCTACGTTCTCCAAAAATTCATACAGCGTCTCGGCTCTCCACTGCGCGAACAAAAACCTTCGTTGGGTACGCGTGTCAAATTAGAAAAGCGTTAACACAGATGCTTTTACGTTTCTAACGCCGAGTTCTGACGAAAATAGTAAAATTCCGACGGCTGGACGTCGTAAATTTGTATCGTTAGGGCGAAGATAAAAATTACAAAATAGGTTTTGAAATGCCAACGTCGTAAATACGTAGCGCGTAAAATAAAAAGATTTTCATAATTAGTATATGCTTGCTTGTAAGCTAGATAATAGATAACCAGGAATAGAATTTGAAGTGACGTGAATTGTTTTGTTGTCAATCGAAGAAACGAAATTCAGTGTTTGAATTACTGGTACTTTTTTTTTCTTTTTCTTACATGGGTTCAGTTCTCCCTAATCGTCTTCTAAACAAAGTAACCAATAGTTCAAACGCAACTTTCGTTACACGTTCGATTTAATGTGACACTACTCCACAAATAACATTTCTTATATGCTGAATATTTCGTTCATTCTACGGACCCGAGATTCTGCAATTATTTTTAGAAGTGTATCTTCAGCTGGTCCTCTTTCTATTTTGCGGACATTTTAGCGATGGCTGCCTTAGAAACTTTAAAATTAGTACCACACGTATGTTGCTTTAACGCGCAACAAAATAGTTGCGAATGTAGAATAAAGAAATTGCCAGAATCGAATGAAATACGAAGCGAGTTACATTTATTTCTAAGGAATTGCGTTATATCTAAATAGGGTGAAAGATAGAGGATCGGAAAAGAAGGCTATTTCGAAACATAATATAAAGGAAATCACTTACAGTGCAGATAGATCAAAAGAAAGGGAAAGAATTTGTAACAAAAGACCTTAAACTTCGGGAACAGGTATTGTTTTCTAATGAATGCAAATCTAATATATTCAAATCACATGGTAGAACACCGATCTGGAGAAAACCTGGCACTGAGACGGATGCATGTAACCTACAACCTATGGTAAAGCAAGATGGTGATGAAATAATCATTCGGATTCGTATGGTTGCTTCCGAATTAATTAATGAAATCATCGATGAACACATGTACCGAAATATATATCGAACAAAAATGTTGTTTAAAACTTGGCAAAATTAAATCTCTCTAAGAACACGTAATTGCAAACACGTGTACTCTAACAACTAGAACTATACAAAATGCCAATAAATAAACGAAAGAAGTCTCCGATAAAAATTGCCGCCTGAATCATAAAAAAAAAAAAAAAGAAATTAAAATTCACATCGAACAAATGAAAGCTCGCTAAAATAATTATCAGGCACAATACACGTAGCAGATAATTTAATATAGGGTGTCCCCGTCTAAATGTTACCCTCTCCGGAGTGCTGATACTTTCGTCGAGCACTGCACGGAAGTGATCTCCGGTTTCTTTCAAGCCGGCAATTAAATCTAAGTAAAAGCGAGCCTCGCGAAGCACGGCGAGTCAATTTCCACGCGAGAGCACAAAGATTGAAGACAATCGCGAGCGCGGAATGGTACCTGTTTAATTGAAGACTGATTCATCAGGGCCGCGTTTAAATCGGCGATAAACGTTGCTCCATGATAACGCGATTGGAAGGCTACGCCATTGGACACAACGTGGGCAAACGACACAACGTGACTAACGAAAGATGTTCGATGGACGCGACTGATACAGTACTGTATAGACAACTCGAGTATATCGGGCGACGAATAAATGCAAGATTAATGGCCGATTTCACCGAGCGCCGACTAAATTTAGAAACCGCGATTTATAGGATTAGTCGTGCGCTTTGAATAGGGAAATTATTGCCGCATCAATGAGTTGCATACGTTAATTGGATACACCCTTCTACGTCAATTTCTTACTACACGTTCGCCGTTCGAGTGTTCCGCGAAATTGAGATTGCGTTTCGAACGATCGCGCGTGCTCATTATGAAGGATTTTCCAAGGAAGATAAAAGATTTTCCAAGGAAGACAAAAGATTTTCCAATGAAGATAAAAGATTTTCCAAGGAAGACAAAAGATTTTCCATTTTTTTTTTTTTTTAAATATAAAGATATTTTCTCGAATTGTATATTGGGTCCAATATCTTCGGGAAGCTTTCTGGTGGTAGCACAATTGCACGTTCATACAAGCTCTGATCTTTATTGAACAGAAACTGATCGAAATGATTCTTGACATCGTCATCATTTGAAGTAACCGTTTTAAACCAGCCTTATTTTAGTAATAAATCGTAAATATAAAACATTATACCTGCAACGGACATAAGAATACAATGAACCGCTGTTTTAATAATACAGAGTAAACACAAACGCATAGCATAGATGCATAGCAAATGGAGATAATAGATAAGCCACGAGACAAGATCGACGGGTAAGGATAACTGCGAGAAGCAATGAGATTTTATTTGTTATGTATCTGGTACGGTTAACCATAAATTGAAGAAAATGATGACATGTGAATTTTAATTCACATAGCCATGAGACAAAATCGATAACGGGTAAGGATAACTGCGAGAAGCAACATGATTTTATTTGTTACGTATCTGATACTACGGTTAACGATAAATTGAAGAAAATGACAATCGTGTAACGTGAGTTTTATTCCGACCAGATAATTTCTGAACATTTTAAACGTCCTTTTTGCACGTTAAGATTACAGACGTATCCTGCCAACCAATTGCCTGCTTTTTGCTCGTCCCGACGACGTTAATTATATAAACTAATTGGCAGGGAAGTTTCTATCGACAGATGTACCTATACGCGATGCAACGTAATGTTCTAAACGTGTTTAGAAGTGATCGCCGCGGTAGGACTTTGCATCACGCAAATGATCACGTTTTACGAGGTTGATCTTCTTAAGGGGTTAACTTAATTGCCGGTCAAAGCCGGGTGAAAGGCGTAACTGTGAAAACATTCCGATAACAATCGCCGCCTGGGCTTAAATCACTTTAAACTGGCTGGTGTATTGCTCGAAGAAGATCGCAATCTGTATATAATTTATAAACTTTCTACGACATACAAATTCAGAAAATGTTCACCTCGCCCGCGCGACAACTCATTGTACGCTCAACTTCGGTCTAATGATTTATTTAACGTTCCGTGCGCTCTTTCGAAACAGGACCAAAGTTATGTTCCCACGGGTCGGGATTATCCGCGCGTGATTTCAACGAAAGTGATGCCACGGTATGTAGTTGCTGCGATAATTAATTAAAGAGACGGAAACGAAATTTTATCTCGGTTAAAACATTCGAACGACGAGAGAAAATATAGACGAGTATTACGGAGTTACGCGTCGAATAGATATTGGGTTGGCTAATAAGTTCGTAGCGCTTTAGTTTTTCTTTTATCCTAGAACGATTTGTATGCTGTTTGCCAAAGTGTTTAATTTTTTATTATTTTTCAAGCTTAGAAACGGATTTTCCAGGAGGCAAAAATCAACATTCACGACATCCGCTTTTCTTCGCTTTTCGTCGAGATTTGCCTTGATGAGATCTTTTTTTTTTTCCTAATACAAGCAACCTAATATAATTAAGAGGTATACGTCGTCTTGCGAAGAAAGTACAATTTCATTTGGTAAAATGTCGATATATTAACATGTGTCCTGAACGTTACACGAACTCTTAGAGGGTTAATCTATAAATCATTTATGGTTTACGTTTTTGTAAGTATCACTTATATCCGACGACTAAGCTTGTACATTTATTATTGTGGAACTTACTTAGCGAGGAAACGTGTACGTTTGAAATTTTCTGTAAGTGTCGATTCAACCCTGCCTATTGTCTTCTGGTCAACTTGCAGAACGGACAATCAACGTACGTGGAAATGTACTCACTCAGAGAGAATGCAACAGAGTTCCAGGTAGAGTAATTAAACGTTTCGACCCCGATTCCTTCGATTGAGCAATAACCTTAAAACGAGACGTTGTGTGTCGGAGGAAAGCATTGGATACGCGCGAGGTTTGCCACGGATCGAAGC